AAGTTCTGAGGAGCGCTTTACCCAGAGAGCAGGCACAAAACACTCTTATCAATTTCTTTGCAAAGAGAAATTGGACAACACCTGAACACACTACAACCACAGGCCAAGCATGAATCCCACCTAGTGTCCTTATCTTATTTCAATGATCGTGTCTGCTTCAGTTTCTGGTATTGTTTGTCCTTCAACACCTCCAAAAGTTGGTGTTTTACATTTGTCCAGTTTATAATTATCAGCATAAGGGTTAGTCAGTTAGAAGCCAGTCCACCATTATCAGAACCAACTCTCTAACGGTATTTTAAATGTCAATACATTTTATCTAATGCATCAATATATATTATTCTATCACAAAAGTTGCTCTTAAGTATCTCAGTAACTATTCTAATAGTTTCCCCTAATTAAAAAAAATGATTTTTGAGACCTGGCTGGGTGGCTCAGTTGGTTGGAGCACCGTCCCATGCAGCAAAAGGTTCCAGCTTCAACCTTCGATCAAGATACATATCTACATTGTGGGTTTGACCCGATTGGGGCAGTACAGAGGCAACCATCCTCTTTTACTTGATGTTGCTCTTTCTCCCTTCCTCTCAGAAAACTCAATAAAAACCTGTCCTTTGTGAAAACTAAAATAATTTTGAAGACTTTTATCCTAAAAGGGGTTCAAAGGCTTTATCAGACTCCCAAAAAATTCCCAACACAAAAAAGATAAGAACTTTATACTTAGGAACTCCTGGCCGTAAGATCCTCCCCCACTGCCACCATAGGGTTCCTTCATTCATCACTGAGCACCTACCTCGCATGTATCAGGTTCTGTTCTACACCCATAGGACAGAACAGTGAACAAAACCAAGTCCCTTCATTCAGTTTGCCAAGAACATGTTCATGTTTCCATGTAGAGAGGTGGTTCTCAACCTTTCTAATACTCAACCCTTTAACAGTTCCTCAACCATGTGACCCCCAACCATATAATTATTTTCCTTGCTTCCTAACTGTAATTTTGCTAGTTATGAATCATAATGTAAATATCTGCGTTTTCTGGTGGTCTTAAGCTCTACAGGTTGAGAACTGCTAGCAGGGTTGTCTAAGACCATCAGAAAACACAGATATTTACATTACGATTCATAAAGGGCAAAATTATGAAGTAGCAATGAAAATAATTTTATTGTTGGGGGTCACAACATGAGGAACTGTATTATAGGGTCGAGCATTAGAAAGGTTGAGAACCATTGACAGAGCGACCAGCAATGAACCCTCCAGGCCCGTCTCCTGCCATTACAGGTAACCTGGCCCATGAGGAACAGCCATTGGTTCATATCCACTAATTGGTGAAAATCAGTCTGCTGAGATAAGCCCTAATCCCAGGATTTGTTCCACCTCAGCCTACTATCACAGAGCCACCACTCTGGTGTGTCAGCTCATCTTTGAAGGGTGGAGAGAGGGTTTCAGGCAAGGAGGAATCATCTGTCAGATGCTCCAGAGTAGCCATAAACTGGAGGAAAGCCTGGTCACTGATTTTCAGCCTTTGAATCTTAATGAGCACCAGAGGGGTAGGAATATGAGGACTGAAAGCCACAATGCTGAGAGCCAGATTGTGGTATTTGTTTGGCAATGAAAGGAAAAGGGAACAGCTTGGTGGGAAGGGTCAGAGGACAACCTCTTTTTGGAAGAAATATCTGGGCACTTCTTAAAGCTGAGGAGAGACAGAGATTGAGATATAAAGAGGTAGTAGACCATAGAAGGGATAACTCAAGAGAAAAAGAGTATAGAAACATTCTATGATTTTAGTTCTTGGATCCAATTGAAATCCACTTAGGGGCTTCGGCAACATCTCTCAAAGTGTCTTGAGTGGATTTCCTATAGATTCCCAGACCCTGTCACTAATATAAGGGAAGATACCAAATTCAAGATCCACTGCCTGAAACTAATCTTCATGCTTCCCAGACACATCAGGTTTCCACATTTTTGTGGATGTGCTGCCACCTGCTGGAAGAATGACAAAGTAACTACAACCATTTCCTGAAAGGGACTGCTTTTCTAAAATGGCAGCAAAGTCAAAACAGGTTTGGCTCAGTGGATAGAGCATTGGCCTGCAGACAGGAGGGTCCCGGGTTCAACTCCGGTCAGGGGCATGTATCTTGGTTGCGCGCACATCCCCAGTAGGGGGTATGCAGGAGGCAGCTGATCAATCATTCTAGTTTTCTATCCCTCTCTTCCTTTTTAAAAAATGATATATATTTTTTTAAAAATTTTAAATATATATATAATAAAATGGCAGCAAAGTCCTCACCCAACCCACCAAATTAGAAATCAGACGGGTACCAGCAAGGCCTGGGATGTTTACAGGGCTTGACCCTAAATGCAGGCCCTAGCACTTCTCTCCAGCCTTGCAGGGTAATTACCCTCCATCCTCATTTTTTATTTTTATTGATTTCAGAAAAGGGAGAGGGATAGAAATATCAATGATGATAATCATTAATCCGCTGCCTCCTGCACACTCCCCACTGGGAATCAACCAATGACCTCCTGGTTCCATAGGTCAAAGCTCAACCAGGGTCACGCTGGCTGGGCCTCTATCCTCATCTTCATTCTACTGTAAACCAGCACATTCTGGAATTAACAGGATCTGATGTTTCCATCCCTTAATGGGAAGGAAATAGCAAGAACTTTAACTTTCCTCCCCATATTGTGGACACAGTTTCAGCATTATCAGAGACTAGCTCTAATGGCAGGAGTGTCTTATAGTACAGGACCTACACTAGCAGCCAAGAACTCCTCTTGCAATTATCAGGTCAGGCTCTAGCCTCCTTTCCCTTCCCTTCAACAAGTCCCCAAAACCCTACTCTTAAGTTTCCAAGTCAGACAAGCATTGAATAAGCACTGATGGGCCTGAGCTAGTTGCAATCCTGCTTCATGCTCCTGGATTCCCAAATTGCCTATTACATACTCTTAGGTCTCTTAATTGCTGAGCAAAGCAGCCAAGCATTTGCTTGGGAGAAGGCCCTAGTCAATGTAGATTGGTCCCTGGTGGCCCACAAAGATCCCTCACATGCCCTTGACAGTTAAGGAAGGATTAAGTACCATTAACACAACTTTTGATATTTTCAGTTCTAACTCCACTCAGCCTTTTGAGTTGAAATTTAACGGCATGCATAGACTGATTGCAACTTTTAGTCTAGGAAAACACTGGTTCCCAGCTCGTTTTGGTTTCCCTATCAGAGGACAGATCTCCCTTGGCAGCACCACTTTCATTAGCACTTGCCATCCCTCAAAAGTAAGACCTTTGTTTTGCTTAGTCCTTAGTACCTAGAACAGGACTGGCTAAGTGGCTGATGTGCAACATGGCTTAGATTTCCACTAGCAAAAAAACAAAACCCGCTTACCTCTTTTATATAGGTTGATTTCCCTTCAAGTTTATTGAATCCTACCAGTATAGCCTTTCCCCCCCACCCCCATTTTTACTAGTCTGATCAGCCAACAGGTAGTTAAGCCCACCTGCTTTTGGCAGATTTCAAAAATCTCAGCTGTGCCCTAGCCAGTTTAGTTCAGTGGATAGAGCATTGGCCCGTGGACTGATGTCCCAGGTTCAATTCCAATCAAGAGCACCTGCCAGCTTTCAGGTTCAGATCCAGCAGGGGACATGCAGGAGGCAACCAACCAATGGTTCTCTCATCGATATTTCTCTCTTCCTCTCTAAAATATATATATAATTTTTAAAAATCTCAGCTGTCACCTGGGGCACTTAAAATTTTTTTTTCTTTTGAGGAAGAGAAACATGAGAATCAGCCCTAACTGATTTGGCTCAGTGGATAGAGCTTCAGCCCCTAGACTGAAAGGTCCCTGTTTGATTCTTGGTTAGGGCACAGCCCCAGTGGGAAATGTGCAGAAGGCAGCTGATCAATGTTTCTATCCCTCCCTTCCTCTCTAAAAAAAAAAAAGTTTTTTTTTTTTAAATCAAGAAACATTGATCAGTTGTCTCCTGCATGTTCCCAAGTAGAGATCAAGCCTACATGTGCCCACACCACCAGGAATTGAACTGTGACTTCTCTGGCTCATAAATCTATTACTTAACCACTGAGCCACATTATCTGGGTTGGGGCAGCATCTCATCAGCCTTTAACTTCTAACAAAAATGTGTGTGTGTGTGTGACAGGAACAGGGAATGTTTAATAAATCAGTTAGAATGTATGGGTACTAACATAGTACAAAACCAAAGGCCTTTCTTATAGTTCTATCTAAGGTTGCTGGTAGACAAAAAAATAAAGGCTCATCTATTGGATTGGTAGTTTCCTCCCCAGCCACAGTCTCCATTGGTCCATCCATCCTTCATGAATTCTATTAGTCACTGACTATTCCAGAATCCATATTCTCAGTGTGTATCTAAGGAGGCCTAGCCAAAGGACTCCTGTTCCTCCTCCGGAGGACTTGTCAGAACACACTGGACTCCCAGGAAGCCAGAGGGAACTTCCATTTCACCAAACTTCTGGCTAGAGCATTTGAAACCTAAGCACCAAGCATTTCCACCAGGGGCTAGGGGTGGATCTGAGGTGGGTTTACCATGCTCCACCTGCAGCAGTATTCCAGGAGAAACACTCTAGGAAGTACAAGTCTGGCACCAGAGTTTAGGACTTTTAATTTGTCCCATAGCTGCTGAAGCAAAATTATGATAAAACATTCTGCTTTCCTTTATACCCCAACACACACAAAAAAAAACTATTTGTAGGAAAAAAAATGGTTTTGTACATGGGAAGAAACAATATAAATTCAAAACTTACAGATAAGGTTAGCTCTACCACTCATCTCTTTAAAAAGTTTATACGAATATCCAGTCAAAACCAACAGAGTATCTCCTTTGAAATGTTATCTAAATGGATATCCAAGTAGACCACAGGACTGTATACTGTCTTGGAATGTCCTTAGAAGGCTCTGTCATTGATCAGGTAACAGAGTAAAAACACCAGAGTCCTTTCTTTTTCAAATGGAAGAGGGAAAGACGGGGATAGAAGAAACTATTCAAACTTTGTCTTCTTTCCTTGTGGCTTATGGTCTCCTCCTCCTCCTCTACCTCCTCGGAAGCCTCCTCGCCCTGAAGGAAGGGAAGACGTCATTAAATAACAGGTGCAAAGCTGCCAGGTGTCCCTCCCCCAGTGATAGTGACCTCTGATGCTACTTACCTCCAAAACCTCCCCGGCCTCTGCCGCCAAATCCACCTCGGCCTCCTCTGCCACCGCCTCTGCCTCCAAAGCCACCTCTGCCTCCACCACGACCCCCGAAGCCACCTTCACCCTTAGGCTTGGCCCAGTCCAAAGTAACTTTGTTTCCATCAATTTCACCATCTTCCATGGCTTCCTTAGCGGCTTTGGCATCTTCCTCACTGTTGAAGTCTACAAAACCAAACCTAAAATACCAAATCAAATTGTCCATTAAAGCAAAGACCTATGGAATACAGTGGAACCGAGGTTTTCTAACTTAATTCATTTCAGAAGGCTCTTCAAAAAGCAATTTGTTAAAAAATGGAATCATTTCCCCCCACTAGAAATGTAAACTGAATCCATTCCAGACTACTAAATGATTCTATTTTAACCTTTCTTATACATAGTACATGTTTAACATATTAATACACAAACATTTCTCTTCTTACTTTTATGGAACCACCCCTACTAACCTAATTTTACTTTATATGTATATAAAGTAAAATTTATATATATATGTGTGTGTGTATTTTATTGATTTTAAGAGACAAAGGGAGAGGGAGAGAAACATCAATGATCAGCAAGCATGATCTGGGGATCAAGCCCACAAGCCCTGCACAATTGTGCCCTGATCAGGAATTGAATCATGACCTCCTTGATTCATAGGTCGATTTGGCCTTAACTAGCTTTCAATCACTTTCAGCACACATTCCAGTGGTACAGCATCTTCTTTCTCAGGAATCATGGCCTCGGCCAGCTGCTTTACATTTATCCAAATCAGCAACAGTTTTTCTACCTCAATTTCCTGTGATCATTGTTTTGCGAACACTTTCACACAGCAACATCAGCACTAGTTTTAAAATTATACTAATCATCCATTTCACCAGCAAAACACATAAAAACAAACTAGAACAGCGGTTCTCAACCTTCCTAATGCTGCGATCCTTTAATACAGTTCATGTGTGGTGACCCCCAACCATAAAATTATTTTCATTGCTACTTCCTAACTAATTTTGCTAGTTATGAACCATAAATTAAAAAATGTAAATATCTGCTGAAACCAGTTTGGCTCAGTGGTAGAGCGTCGGTCTGCGGACTGAAAGATCCCGGGTTCGATTCCGGTCAGGGGCATGTACCTTGGTTGCGGGCACATCCCCGGTAGGGGGTGTGCAAGAGGCAGCTGGTCGATGTTTCTCTCTCATTGACATTTCTAGCTCTCTCTCTCTCTCCCTTCCTCTCTGTAAAAAATCAATAAAATATATATTTTTTTAAATGTAAATATCTGATATGCAGGATGTCTTAGGTGACCCCTGTGAAAAGGTCATTCAATCCCCAAAGGGGTCACGACACGTAGTTACTAGAACTTTAGAGATAAACTGACTTACATTCTGTTTGTATGCGGAGATGCTTTTTGTCATGCTAATGTATGAAAGGGTTATCAGATCTAGAACTGCAGTTTTGTTAATAGGAAAAAAATTTTGAAGTGTATGTCAGGTGTTTTTTTTTAAGTTTTTTTTCTTTCTTTCTTGTCATCATTGCTCTGTCGAGTGTTTTTGTGTGTGTGTGTGTGTGTTTTAATATATTTTGTTGATTTTTTTACAGAGAGGAAGGGAGAGGGATAGTTAGAAACATCGATGAGAGAGAATCAACGACCAGCTGCCTCCTGCACACCCCCTACTGGGGGATGTGCCCTCAACCAACGTACATGCCCTTTGACCGGAATTGAACTGGGGACCTTTCAGTCCACAGGCCGATGCTCTATCCACTGAGCCAAACCGGTTTCAGCTAGAAAAATTTTTTTTTTTCTTTGAACAAGTTGCTCTAGAACAGAACTGTTTGAGATGGGAGACATTTGAGAACTGAGGTTTGACTGTAAATGCCAAATTTAGCCCTAAAAGTAGCCTTGCTCAATTGAGAAAAGACCAAAGTGGTAAGAGTAGCTCTCTCCAGAAAGTTAAAACTGGGTTTACTGACAGCCTAAATGCAAAAATGTCTCACAAAACAGCAGCATATACCTCTGAAGACAAGAGGCAAAATGCTAGCTCTGTGAATTGTCTCTTCTTCTCGTGCGAATCCATAACTGCCACAGAGCGACAGAAAGGAGCTCAATGAGAAGACACATTGGATGAGAGGTCCCCACTCAGTGGACACTGTACCCTCTTGCACCTTACCCTTTGGAAGAGCCAGTCTCCCGGTCAGTGACTATCCTTGCACGGACAGAGCCATCAAATGACTCCTTCAATGTCTCTTCCGTAGTCTCCTCAGATAGACCTTTGACAAATAGAGTTTTGGATGGCTCTGGGGAAGAACAAAAAATAACACTTCATTCACAATGATGACATGGACTTATTTAATATTCAAATGACTACTAGCCAAGATCGCTTATCATATTAGAACCCTAAAGTGTCTCTATGAGAAAAAGGTTATCTTAGCCAACTAATATTTAACAAAAGCAAAGGGTTTAAATCAACTGCTATCTCAAGTCTACCTTGACTACCAAAGCAGATCTTTTATAGAAAGCAAGAGAGCCAATCTAAACAAGTGAGACAGATCTTAAGCGGGTAGCAACAACCACGACACGCAGTAAACTAAGGGCAGATCTATTGCTCGAGTTGACATGGCTGGATCAGAACTTGACTATCTAGAGGAATTTTCTTGGATTTCATCAATTATTTCTCAGATAATCGATCATCATATCCAGTGTCATTTACTCAGCAACAACAGAAAAAAAAAAGTTCACCTCTAGATGTGACCCAAATTAAAGCATGGCACAGAGTTATCCCCCAACCACAACACTCTGGTAATTTTAACTTACGGCTTCTTGCATTAGGCGATCCTCTGGGTCCTTGCAATTCCAGCCTGATTGCTCTGCCCTCGATTTCTCTTTTATTACAGGAATTTAAAGCTTCTTTAGCATCTTCAAATGAAGCAAATTCTATAAATGCATACCTGAGGATGAACAATATTTAGAATATGATATCAAGCTCATGGCTCCTCTGCAATCACATCTGACGCCATAGGCCTTTCCCCCGCTCAAGCAAATAAACGAAGCTCTTTATACTTATTTATATAGCTAAAAATGATTCAGCTTCTAACAGACAGGGTAAGAGGATTATATCTACTATTCAAGATGCTCTTACAGCCAATGACTGACAACATAAAGATACAAATTATTATACCCTTTAGATTTGCCATTTTGGTTCTGGGGCACTTTGATAAATGTTGCCTTCTCAAATACTTCCTGAAGAGTCTCTTCTGTTGCACTGTAGGAAAGGTTGCTTAAAACCAGAGTTTTTGATTCACCTACAAATAAAGAGATGTCAAATTAAGACTGTGAAACAGTGGTTTGCAATTTCAGTCACAGCTATATCTTGTTCTTAAGAATTTCTGTGCTTAGGCCGAAACTGGTTTGGCTCAGTGGATAGAGCGTCGACCTGCGGACTGAAAGGTTCGATTCCAGTCAAGGGCACATACCTTGGTTGTGGGCACATCCCCGGGGGGGGGGGGGGGGTGTGTGTGCAAGAGGCAGCTGGTCGATGTTTCTCTCTCATCGATGTTTCTAGCTCTCTCTCTCTCTCTCTCTCTCAATTCCTGTTTAAAATCAACAGAATATTTTTTAAAATTTCTGTGCTTGAAAGTTAACAAAGAAAAGTTGATGCAGATAGAATCCTATTCCAAGTGTCTCAATATACTGAGTACCTATAATGCAGTTATGTCTGGCTTCCTTTCATTCCTGTTATTCAAAAGTGTAAGTTGACTACTGACCTGTATCTTCCAAGAACAATATTCTAATTTTAAATTGTGCATTAAGAAAAATTAGAAAATGCCGGAACCGGTTTGGCTCAATGGATAGAGCGTCGGCTTGGGGACTGAGGGGTCCCGGGTTCAATTCTGGTCAAGGGCATGTACCTTGGTTGTGGGCATATCCCCAGTAGGGGGTGTGCAAGAGGCAGCTGATCGATGACTCTCTCATCGATATTTCTAACTCTCTATCTCTCTCCCTTCCTCTCTGTATAAAATCAATAAAATATATTTTAAAAAAAAAAGAAAAATTAGAAAATGTACATTCAAGACACAGAATTACTATTACAAATATAAGCATAACTTGCTTAACTACATCCACACTCAATCAACTTAAAGTTCAAAAATGCAAAGAATTTCCATCAATTCTGGAACCTTGTAGGATTATAAATTCTTACCACTCCAGGTGCTATTCTTTCCACCTCTATGGTCTTGATTTTGACCTTTCTCTCCAGTATAGTACAGAGAAATGGATCGTCCATCTATTTCTGTTCCTTGCTTTTCTTCCAAGGTTTTCTCTGCATCAGCTTCTGTCTTAAATTCAATATAAGCAATCCTGCAAAAGTGTGTTTTAAAAAAAGAATTTGAATTTTAAAACCATATTTATTTTTAAATTATATATTTTTTATAGATTCAGATAGGGAGAGAAATATCAATAAGAGAATCTGACTGGCCATCTCCTTTACGCCCCACACTGGGAATTGAGCCTGCATCTCGGCTGGTTTAAATCAAACTGTGACCTCCTGGTTTGCCATGAAGGTTGGACAATCACATTAATTTTTAACACAAATGTTTTAATCTCAGCAATGACCTTACTTCAGCTGAATACAACAAAAATGTCCAATTTTATACTAGTTGGCATGTTTGAGGTTTCTGCCATCCTCCACTTTTCAATTAAAACTTTCCTCCAACCCAGACTGGTGTAGAATACTGGTTAGCATCAGACTCACTAACAAAGGCTCAAGAGCACAGCCGGAGGCAACCAGACTATTAGTCTCTCTCACATCAATGATTCTCTCTTCCATTCTCTGAAAAATAAATGGACAAAAATGTCATCAGATAAGATTAGCAAAAACTTTCTTCCCATTAAATTTGCCAAGTATTCCTAGAAAATGTGATCACAGTAAGCCCACTTCACTTCAAAATAATTGCCATTCCTTACAAAGCATGCACTATACATTTTGTAATCCTTTTACACATTAATTCGTCTTTTAAAATCACTATGAATTAAGTACATTATCCCAATTGTATGGATAGAAAATCAAGGCATAAGTTATAGATTTGCCCATATCATATATATAGAAAGTTGGGTCATTCCCTTTATAAATTAGAATCACATTGATTTATAAAACTCTTTAACATTCCGAGACACAAAACATACCCTTTACTTTTTCCATCCTTGCTGACTAATCTGATTTCCATAGCATCTTCAAACACTTCTTTTAATTCGTCCTGAGTAACTTTATAAGGCAGATTTTTTGCCAAAAGTGTTCTTGCATCTCGATCTAGATTAAAAAAAAAAAAAAACACACACACACACAAAATGAATAGGATGGGTTAAAAGACCTTCCTCCTTACCACCAAGATAATCACCAATAGAAAAGTTCTGTTTAGGAAATAACTTGGAGTCCTTTAAATGTACAAGACAGACACTAACAGTATGGCAATACAGCAGTAGCAAGACACAAGCTCCTGTCACACCCAACATCAAAATATGTGCTAGATACTTAGAACTCAACCTAATAGGTGCTTAGCAGTTTATTTTGTTTCAAAAATGTATTTTCGCCCTAGCTGGATTGGCTCCGTGGATAAAGCATCAGCTGATGGACTGAGGGGTCCCAGATTTGATTCCAGTCAAGGACACATGGTGGGCTGTAGGCTCGATCCCAAGTGGGGGGCTTGCAAAAGGCAGCCGATCCATGATTCTCCCTCACTGATGTTTCTCTCTCCCCTTTCCTCTCTAAAAATTAAAGTATATACATATTTTTAAATATATATTTTATTGGTTTCGGAGAGAAAAGCAGAGGGAGATGAAAATATCAATGATGAAAGAATCATGGGTTGGCTGCTTTCTGTACGCCCCGCACAGGGTATTGAACAGTGACCTCCTGGCTTATAGGTCAGTGCTCATCCACTGAACCACATCACTGGGCAGTTTTTATTTTTTGTAAAATATATTTTATTGATTTCCTAGAGAGGAAGGGAGAGACAGAGAGCTAGAAACGTCAATGAGAGAGAAATATCGACCAACTGCCTCTTGCACACCCCCCACTGGGGATGTGCCGCAACCAATGTACATGCCCTTGACCAGAACCGAACCCGGGACCCTCCAGTCCGCATACCGAGCTCTACCACTGAGCCAAACTGCTTTCGGCTACTGGGCAGTTTTTAATTTAAAGTCATGCCTCAGTGGATAAGAAAGGTCCTAAGTTTGATTCCAGTCAGGGGCATGTACCTTGGTTGAGGACACAAGCCCATTCGGGGACGTGCAAGAAGCAGCTGATCTATGTTTCTCTCTCATTGATGTTTCTAACTATCTCTCTCCCTTCCTCTCTATAAAAAAAATCAATAAAACATTTTAAAAAAAATTTTTCTTTTAAACAAATAAAGTCATGAGCAGCCCTGGCCAGTGTAGCTCAATTGGCTGGGCGAAGGCACAAGTCTGGGTTGTAGGCTTGATTTCCAGTGGCCAATTGATGAATCTCTTATCTTCCCCTTCCTTTCTCAAAATCAATTTAAACATCTTAAAGAAGTCATGAACACACATGAAACGTGACAAAGTACATGAAGGGTACGAAAAAAAATAGGGATTTTATCTAATTCCAGTGAGGAAAGATCTCCCCATATTAGGGTATGCCTATACGTCTAAACCAGTGTTTCCCAAAGGGGTACAGGAAGTTTGGTGGGGGTACGCGTTGCACTGGAGTTTGGTGGGGATATGCACTACACCGTGTTTAGCTGTGCCTAATTCTACGATCTCACAAGTACGAAGGGTACTCAGCGTTACGAAAATTATAGAAAGGGTATACATATGCCAAAAGTTTGGGAAACACTGGTCTAAATAATTACATATTTTTAAAATACATTTTTATTGATTTCAGAGAGGTAGATTCGAAACATCAACAATGAGAATCATTGATCAGCTGCCTTCCCCACACCCCACATTGGGGTTCAAGCCTGCAACCTGGGTATATATATGCCCCAACCAGGAATGGAACCCTGACTACCTGGTTCATAGGTCACCACTCAATGACTGAGCCACGATGGCGAGGCTATTTAAAATTTAGGAAAAGGCATCAATTGGGGGGCTCCTGCATACTCCCTACTTGGGGATCAAGCTCCACAATCTGGGCATGTGTCCTGACTGGGCATTTGAACAGACAACCTTTTGGTGCACGAGATGATATTTACCAACTCAGTCACACCCGCCAGAGCTAAATAGTTAATTTTTGTAAGTTCATTATTGCTTGCTGGAATTTCTAGCACCAGCAAACACTGCAAGCATTTAACATTCTAACTTATTTAACGCTGGGGGAAGAATGGGGGAAGAAAAGAGTTAATTATTTAACCTGGCCAATTAGACTAGAAATATATCAATTAAGGAATTACCTATCAGTATCACAATTATCTAAAGCAGTACATACCTTTTTTACTGTCTTTTCCTTTTGGTTTCTCTAGTTTAATTTCATTGCCAAAGACTTTTAAACCAGTGAGTTCTAAGGCTTTTTCCAGATCCTCAGCAGATTCAAAATCCACATAGCCAAACTTCCTTTAAGGTGATAAGGCAAAGGATAAAAAGTACAGTTTTTAAAAAAAGCAAAAGCAAGAGCCCCATTTACATGTATACTAGACAAGCAGCAACACTAATGCAATGGGGCAAGCAATGATTTAAGTTAAGCAGCAGCATACTCTATTAACAAAACTAAGACACTGAAAGCTCAGGATACAGACTGAGGTTTAAATACCAAGCAAGACCTGAAGCAGGTCCACCTCTGAGTTTATCTTTATTAACTACACTGCTCATAACAGCTAACAAAAGAACTTGTTAAAGATCAAGGAAGGAGAACCCTGCTTGGTTATTTGGATCTAATAGTTTTACGAATTTTTAAGAATAAAAGCTCATAGCTTACTAAAAATTATTTTGTGCTATATCAAAAGTTAAGGGAGATTATGGAAACTTCAATTGGGGAAGGTTGTACAATTTAATAATCTAAGTAATAGTTCATTAAAGTCTAAACTTTGAAGACACACTCATGCTGAAGGGGAAAGTACTAATGTTCTAAAAAGGGAGGAAAAAAAGCATTAGCAGACCCAGGAATACGGTTGGCTTAACTTCCCCTTGCCTACCTGGACACACCAATTCTGACATCCACAACAGCAAGATCGTTTTTAGCAAAAACATCACTGATACCCGTTTTTAATTCAGGAGCAGACTTGTTAAAGTTCAGGTTTCCAACAAAGAGATTGAAAGCAGTTGTTGGTTCTGTGGCTGCAAAAAAAATTAACTCAAATTAATCTGATTTATAAAGTATGGGATGTATTTGATTTCTCGCATAAATTTCTATACACAGCACATCAGCATACTGCAATGTAACATCAGGTTTCAGTATTAAGTCCCTTTGTTGTTCATCACTTGTGCTATTAGGTACAAATCCCTCCCTCTCTCCATTCTGACAAGTTACCTTCCACTTTCTGTTTCTTGGCCTCAGGAGCAGCTTTCTGTTTGGCCATTTCCTTCTTCCGTTTTCCAGGTGCTTCTTTGACAGGTTCTGGACAAGATTTCAAACAATCTGTGTTATCCATAAGTAGTCTCACATATTCAGTACCTTCTTTAAATAAAACTCACACCAAACCACTTTAGAATCTAGCTCAATTACCTTCCTCCTCCTCTTCTTCGTCGTCCTCCTCCTCTTCATCATCTTCATCGTCCTCTTCATCATCCTCATCATCCTCTTCATCATCCTCATCATCCTCTTCATCCTCATCCTCAGCTGTGCTCTTGGCCTTCACGGGAACAGCTTTTACGGGAGCTTTCTTGCCTTTGGCTGGTGCAATCTCCATAGGTTCTTCTTCAGAGTCTGAAAGAGAAGCTACCTTGTCAAAAACTCAAAGATAATTATCCCCAAACCAACACAGTTCAAGATAAATCTAAAGGAAAAAATATAAAGGAAAAATATAACTACTAAACTGTGCTTAGTAGTTATAATAAGAATTAACAGATTCCTTGGAAGTGAAACCCTGTATTATGAAAACTACTCAAAGAATGTGCTGCGCTAAACATTTTATCAGGGGCAGGCAATCATTTATGGCTACCACCCTAGTACATAACCAGCACAGAGAATCCCTGGGAGGATTTTTATCTACCCCCAGGGTGTCATGGATTGAGCATGTTTGCATGTTGCCCACCCATCCCACAATCTCACCCCTAATGTACCTTGCAAACAAGAGCCCAAGGACTACCCGTAGAACGCCTTACCATCTTCTTCGTCATCATCATCATCCTCATCCTCGTCTTCATCATCATCTTCATCTTCATCGTCTGAGGCAGGAGCAGCAGCAGTGGCTTTCATCACTGCTGGCTGAAATTCAACCTCATCTTCATCCTCATCCTCCTCATCGTCATCATCCTCCTCTTCACTGTCCTCATCATCATCCTCATCCTCGTCACTATCTTCCTTCTTGGCATTCTTGCCGTTCTTTGCTCCCTTGACTGGGATGGCTGCTCCCTTCTTACCAGGGGTTGCTACCAATGCTTTGCCTGGTGTGCCTCCCTTCTTACCAGGTGTGGCTAATGCTTTGGCTGGTGTAACTGCTGCTTTTTTGCCAGGGGTTGTCACAACCACTGCCTTTTTGCCAGGGGTGACAACTGCTTTCTTGCCTGGCGTGGCAACTGCAATCTTTTTTGTTGGGGAAACCATCACCTTCTTTCCTGGAGTTGTAGCCTTCTTGCCTTTTTTCTGAGGAATGATAACCTAGAAATTAAATAAAATAAACATGAGTCTATTTTTAAACTCAGGGTGACCACTAGTTCCCATATAAATGAGTGCTAAATCCTGGCACTACCTCTGGTTCAAGGCTACATGCATTAGAACTATACTAGCATGAACTATACTAGCATCATGTTACAAGTCCTTCTCTGTACCTATGAAATCAGTCCTCATTTTCAGGTAAAATATCCAATCATAAACTTCCAATACCTCTGGACCTAGACTTGTGAATTTCTGTATCTCATCCTCTAGTAATTGCTTCAGTTTTGGCGAAGATCTTCACCTCACCAAAAAGTACCCAGTCTGAAAATAGACTGACTGGATCTCATCTGCTTCTGTGGAGCCCGAGGAAAGATTTTGTAAAACCTCAACTTTTTTTCTCTTCTAACTATGAGAACCAATGTTACATGTTGTTTTAAGAATTATGATGAATTAATTCCTATAATTAAAAGCTCAAACTGGTAAGTGTTATTAAATCATTTGGGGAGATGGTAAAAAGTTCACTGAAAGCTCAGTAT